CTCTGTCTGGTTGCACACAGGTCCCCCGTGAATGCGAATGCACACGGCACACTTGCCCTTAACGTGCATTCCAGTCCGACCTCCCTCTCCTGGAAGAGGAGACTCACAGCAGAGGCGACCCAACGGCAAGTGTGACACTACCGACGGAGAATGGATATAAGGAAGGAGTGTGTGCTCCGGGGCTGGAGTCCGCGCCAGCATGCACTGAGCCCTGGCTTTCAGCCCTCACCGTGTGGACCGGGCATGCTGCTACACACTGGTGTATGCACGCACACTCACACACACTCACACACACACTAAGAATGCGTGCAGTTTCCAACAAGGACCTGCTCCACCCCAGCTGGGAAAGGAAGCCTCCTTTCTGATTTTACACGCCCTGCGCCGCTCAGCCAGGCATGCGGGGCCACACTGGCTGCCACACTGGCTGGTTAAAGTGTCAGGGAAGCTCTACGCATAATGCATTGAAGACACCCGGGCTTCCACGGGACACACGGGTGGCTTTATCGTAGCAAGGCACCTTATTTAAAACGTAATTTTAGGAACACTCCAAGGTCCAGTCACCATAAAACGCCATCAGGACACTGCACCCCGCTCGCACGCTTGAGCTGTGTGGTCCTGCGTGCGTGTTCTAGGGCACATTCCAGGTTGGACTTGAAGCACTGGCAGCGGCCACGGTGCTGCCCACCGTTCGTGAGGCACACCCTCCCCATCCCTGAGCACACGCAGGCACTGGCCGGCACAGCTCTGGGTTCCACTCAACCCTCCCGGGTCCTGGCGTGCCCCTGCTTTCCACACCACGGGCGCTGGTTACCATCCTCTCTCAGATGACCCGCAGCTCGCAGGAACTCCTACAGGGCTGGCTCAGCCCTGAATCTTCCTCAGTTCACTAATCCCTTTCTCCTCCCACCCTGTGCTCGCTTCCCATTCCCAGGAGGCTCCTGACATTCAAACCAGGATTCTGAAGCAAATGAGCGGGTGCCCAGCAGCTTTGCCATAATGCGCTTGCCCTTTCCATTATTAGCGGAATGCCAGCAATAAAGAGGAGAGCTAAGAAGCCAGTCTCCAGAGGCCTCCTGCCTCCTGCCAGGCCCTGAGCTCCCCTCGGCGGGCTTCCCCCTCCTGCCTCCTGCCAGGCCCTGAGCTCCCCTCAGCAGGCTTCCCCCGTCGTATGGGGCCCTCACAGGGAGCAGGGCCAGGTACCACGGAATGCATTGGTTCTGCACGTGTGTGTGTGTGTGTGTGTGTGTGTATAGGTGTGTGCTTGTGTGCAGGCTGTGTATACATGTCATGGGTGTGCAGAAGCCAGAGAGTCACCTGCAGGTGTCTGTCATGAGCTGTCCGCCTCACTTACCAGGACGGGGTCTCTCACTGACCTGGAACTCACTGGTGGGTGGTGCTGGCCAGTGAGCCCTCCCCGTGACTAGGGAGGGGCACGTCTGCATGTAGGCCCCAGGGCTCGAACTCATGTCCTCACGCTTACACAGCCGCTCTTTACCGACCGAGCTATCTCCCCAGCGCACACGAGTGTGTGGTCCTTTAACAGCAGGCGTCTGGCTGGTTAAATCAGCAGCACCTGCCCCCGAAGTAAGTCTCCTTAGCCGGAGAGGGTAAAGCCGCAGCTGACAGAGGCTCAAGCCAAGGACAGCCAGAGAAGACGTGTCGGCAGGCAGCTACACTGGGAACCACGAGGTATCCGTGTTCTAAGCGGACGCAGACAAGACCACCTCAGCCCCAGCTTCAAAAGCAGACGTGACAAGAGTATGGTTAATTCATCACACTGGCGCGTCCCGAGCAATGGGCAGCAAGGACAAAAAAGTCCCACTCTCAGCAATAGAAACTTTTACAATTTCATTTTGGATCATAAAAGTTTCATTTGTTTAAGATGAAGGTGAATTGTTGGTGGGAAAGATACGAACTCCTTTCACTAAAGTACTTCATCTCTCCCCTTTAGAGGATGGTGGCCGAGGGGCCTACAAGAGGCTTCATACAGGCAGAAGTGCTGCCAGGCCTGCAGGCTGGAGTTCAAGCCCTGGGACCCGTGTGGCGAGATGAGAAGAGCAATCCCCATCATTGTCCACTGACCTCTGACACCTCCACATGCGCAGGAACCTGTGTGTACAGGTCAGGTCAGGCCACACCTGACAGGCCTGTCTCTGAGTCACTTCTGAAGCTTAGACCTCAGGTCTGAACTCAGGAGGCAGCTCGTTAGACTATTATAAAAATCCTCAATAGCTGGGCTGGGGAGGGAGATTAAAATAAAAAGGGTGTCAACCCCAGCAGCCACATAAGAAGCCAGGCATGATGGCACATATCTGCAATCCCAGCGCTGGGAGGCAGAGGCAGGCAGGTGCCTGGAGCTCGCTGGCCAGCTGGCTTCTTCTGTGAGCTGCGACCCGAGCGGGGATGCCACACACTGGCACACACGCACCCCACCACACCCCCAAATCACTATTATTCTCAGGTGCCGAGCACTGTTCTAGGAGCCCAGTGGAGAGGAGAGCGTGGCTAAAGCCACTCCCGCCCCTCATCCCCGTCGTCGGAGTCCTGCCTCTGCAGCATGCCCTCCCACAGCTGTGCTGGGCAACAGCTGTGTGGGTACCCGACACAGACACCCCCACAACCCGCCTCATCCCCCAGAAATCGATCACAGTGCAAACGAAGCGACAGGTAGGATTTCTGAGCACAGACTTAACTGTGGCTATTTTTGCACTATGTGAACACTTTCCCGGCTCTAATTGAGAGCAGGAAGGGAGGAGACGCTTCCTGTGAGGTCGATGATGGAACTCACTGCTGGGAAAACTCGAGCCACTGCAGACAGAGGTGGAGATGTGCTGTCTTAATGCTAATTAATTTATCATCCTCCCTGCATCCTGTTTAGACACTTGGTGTATTTAGCCTGGGCCGAGCAGCCCTTCAAGGCTCTGGCAGCTTGGTGTTCCCTGTCTTAAAGGGACCAGCTCTAAATACTATCAGTGCAGTGAGCAACTGTCACCCCTCCCGTCCCAGGGCCCTCTGCCCTTGGAGGTCAGAAGGTCATCATCAGCAGAGGAGAGTTTCCTGTGCCAATGCCTCTGGCCCCAAAGCCACGGAACAGCCACCAGGAGTGTCTCCACCTCTGCCGGGTAACCAGGAACCTGTGCAGCCCAGACAGGCGGGCAGACGGTGTAGCCCGGCTGGGTGACGGACCCTCCCTCCTGAGAGGAGTTGAAAACAACATTGAGGAAATAAAAATAAACAAACTCAGAAGATGAAGGGACCCATCGGCGCCTACAGAGTCCATTAGAGTTCTGGGTGGGGTGGAGCGGGAAGGGGGAGCATTTCCAGTCATGATTGCATAAGAGCTACCTGTTGGCTTCCAAACATTAGAGAGCAGGCCACAAACAACAGAGATTCAGAGGTTTGCAGAGCGCGTGTACAGGCCCTCAGCACTGGGCGTGAACCCTTGCGGAGAGAGGGGTGTGAAGCACAGAGGTTACAGAGGACGTGCTGGGCTCAGAGTGTGGATGCCGCTTCCTAGAACTAAGCGAGGATGCTAAAGTTCATGGAATGGAGACTGCTGTCTTAAACCTGAAAAGTGATGGTCTTGGTTAGTCTCAGCTGTCAACGTGGCCCAGCCTGGAGTCCGTGGAGAAAGGACTGTCCCGATCAGCTTGGCCAGCGGGGGGACTGTGGGGATTATTTTGTGGTTAATGGGGGAGGATCCAGGCCACTGTGGACAACACCGTTCCCTAGACAGTTGTTCCTGAGCTATAGAAGCTAGCTAGCTAACCATGAACCCGAGAGTGAGCCAGCCAAGCCTCCCTCATTCAAACCAAGAACTGGCTTGAAGGGTCCCAGGGACAAAGCAATCAAAGCAGATGGCCAGATTTATAAAGGTCACATCAGGAGAACTCAAGGGACCCTCAATGTGAAGGGCTCACCAGAACTCAAGGTGATCCTCAATGTGA